TAAATGATAAAAGATGAACTAAATAAAATAGCAACAAGAATAAAGAAAATAGAGATAGAAGAAATTAGGTGATGATAAGAAAAGAGAAAATGAAAAATAACAAATTCGTGTTTTAATATAACCAAAAAGAAGAACCAATAACAAAAAGCAGAAAAGAACTTACAGACCTAAAAAGGATGCTAAGACTAAAACCCAGAAACAAATGACAAACAATCAGTAAGAAACACTCAGTTGAGAAGAAGATTGGAAGATACAACCACAAAATAAGAGGATTGGAAAAAAAGTTTCCAGAAGCACAGAAGAAGTTAAATAAAGAACCAGGAGTTTCTCATTTCTATCCATTTAAAGAAGAGTTAATTCACAAATATGAAAATATACTTAAAAAGAAACAAGAAGAAATAATAACAGCAAAGGATGTACATAAAAGTCAATTCAAATCAGTTGAGTCAACACAAATGAAATAAAATAAGTAAGAAGGATTTACTATTAACATTAATTTTTTTTGAATTTGAATGTTTTTTGATTTATTTTTTTTTTCTGTTTTTATCAAAAGAATTAAATATTAATGATTATTGATAATATCAAATTCAATCAATTAAAAACTAAAGAGAAGAGTGACTGTATTTTTTCTATCATTTCTTGGTGTTCAACACCAATTTTTTGAGCTAATAACATTTGTTTCTTTTCACTCCATTCTAAAATACTTTCAATTTTGTCACCATCAATACAATTCATCATTGGACTTGTTTGTTGAGTATTAACACTTTCTCTCCAATTTGACTTAACTAATTTGGATTGAATTTTATTCAAAAAAAGGTAATGTTCTTTTGATATTTCACAAATATTATATATACCACCATGTACACCTCCCATTAGACATCCTTTGTAGAAAGACTTTTGGATAAAATTAATTGAATCTGCGACATGAACTTGTGATATTAAACTAATTTTTTCATCATCTGTTTTTGGTTCTTCTTCATCAGAATTAAATATTTTAATATTTCCTGATACATCTGCAACTAAAAATGAAGTGCCATATTCACTTTCTATACTGCCAACACAAGAGGACCAAACAATTTGATTATCTTTACCAACAACATCAAGATGTTCAATGTCATTTCTGTAACGATAAACAGAAAGTGACCTTGCTAAATCACCAGCAATGATATAATCTTTACAAATGTCAAGACTAACCCCTATCAAAGGTAATAACATATTTTGTTTAGTATTTAAATCTTTTCCTTTTTTTTCAATGACATGAACATTTCTATTGATAAAGGCAACTATTCCTTTTTGACATTTTTTCAAACAATAAACAGCACCATCATAATCTTCTGTTCCAACAATATAAATTAATCCTTCTGTGTCTTGTCGTATTAATAAAATTCTACCACTTGATGGTTCTATTTCATTCTCTCTTATTATTGCAGTTCCAACAGCATAAATATTATCTTCTAACGAGTCAACACAAAGTGCAAGTTCATTACTCTTTAGCTCTATTGTTGTAACACCAAAACTTCCATCAATTAAATTAATTGACTTAATTGTTTTACCAACAAGTAATCCATAAGACCCATCAGTAGCAATTTTACAACAATTTTCTCCAGAATGTATCATTTTAAATGTAACTCTACTCATTTCTTTCATTAAACCAAATACGATACCACGTTTAGTTGCACATATTACTCCATAATCACCAACAGGACTTTCACAAATATCAATAAGGTCTTCAACGGCAAGAGGAACAAGTCCAGTTTGTTGAAAAGTGAATGTTTTATTTGCAATAACACAAGGAATTGAATATATTTTTTTTAGTTTGATTGATTGAGAAGTTTCAATATGATATTTAAGTTTATTTTTATATGTACAATCTTCTTCCATTTGATTGTATAAGAAAACAATTATTTCATTATCACATCCAACATAAATTTTATTATGATCAATTAAAATGCTTCTTCCAATAGTATCTACTACTTCTGTTTTCTTTAATATTCCATTAATATCAAAAATTAAAATACTTCCATCCCAAAGTCCTATAACTATAATTTCATTTATATCAAAACAACTAACATTTTGTTCGAAATCTTTCATTTTTTGAATTTTTAATTCTTCAGTAATTTTAAATAATTCTGTTCCATAAATGAAATATATTTGTTGATTAATGAATTTTGCGTGTGTAATAAAACTATCAAATTTCATAAGAGTATTTTTCTTTTGATGTTTGTCAATACTATAAATTCCTTTTTTACAAACAAAAATCAATCGTTCTTTTATTATTCCACAACACATAACTCTCTCTTTACCAATAACTTTCTTTAATGAACTTTCTTCAATTTTTATGTGTTTTGACTTTTGGTGTATTTCCCATATATTACTTTCTTCTTCAAACCCAACAATAACATATTTCTTTCTATCATATTCAATACTCTCCACACTTTTAATATCATTTATCTCACAAGACCCAAGTTCTTCAATTCCACTTCCTTTAATCATTAATCCAATGCTACCTTTTCCTCCACCATTACCAACAACAAGATAGTCTTCTCTATTACTTATTTGTCTTGCATCCATTAAACTACCAAAATTACTCCATTTTTCTAAAATCTTTCCATTTAAGTTCATTATTAAATTGTCTCCATTTAATGAACCAATAAAAAGGATTTTATTAGAAAGATAACTGATTGTAGAAGAAATAGACTGTAAAAGTTTTGGTGATTGTTTCTTTGTTATTTCAATAATTTCATTGTTAATATTTACTTTAAATTCAAGAGTATCTAAATTTCTTTTTGAGTCAGTCATTATTAACACATCTTTTTTAATGAAACAACAAGCAGTATTTGGGTATTGGTTTAGGTTACAAAGAATGTGTTTTCCATTTCCATTAAAATAACATCCTATTTCATCTGAAATAACGAAAATTCCAATAATACCATCTTTAAATCCTACTATTCTTGATGTGGTTGGTCCTACATTTGGTTGACTAAAACTTCCTTTTTCTAATTCATTAAATGAGTTTAATGTATATGTATCAATGTGTCTAATATCTCTTTTATTTTCATGTAATAAAGCAAGTTGATATGAATCATTTAATAAACAAAATGTCATATCAAGAATGTGTGAGTGATTAACTTTTATATTTGAAGCAGTTAATTGATCTTTAGGATATTGTGGCAATAAAACAACTTTAATTAATTGTTCATATAAATTTAAAAGTAAAATTTGATTATTAGGAGAAATAACTGCTTTAACTCCAAAAAATGCTTTTCTTCCAAAAGTATCTTTTAAAGAACCAGAAGAAATTATATGTAATGCAGATGTTGTAAGTTTAAGTATTTCTATTTCATTTGATTGAGTAACTACAATAAGATAGTCTGTAATATCTTTTAATGGTTTATATTTTAAAAGAAGGGTAATCCCAGATGAATATCGTTTTGTTGTTAAAGGAATGAGACCAGTTGAGTTAATTTCATATAATTCTAATAAATTTAATTTGCTTACAACAAGATAATTTATGTTAAGAGTTAGTTGAGCAGTAATTGAATGAGAAACTCCACTTGGATTAATTAATGTATTAAACATAAAAAAATGGTTGTTGTCTTGACTCATATTGATTATAATGAAATAACGATAATGAGTTTTTTTAATATTTACATATTATTAATAATAAAGTTTACTATTGTTAAATTTACCTTTTTTTCTTTTAATTTTTCTTTTTTTTCAGTCTCAGCAAACTACAAAATTAGAAAAAAATACCAAATGAAAAGGACTAATTCTATTGCTTTAACTCCAACTTCTTCATCAAGACTTTATATCAAAAAGAAGACACTTGTTTGTTTTATTTTTTATTTTAACTACTTTTTATTATATTTATTATATTTAGCAAACAAGAACAAAATATTCATGGAGTTCAAGAAGAGGAAGTACGGTATTAAGGCCAAACTCAACTGGTTCATTTGAGATTGAACCTAAAGATATCCCAACATTTAATTTAACAGAAATTATAAAGGTATCATTATCAACAATAGTTAGTTCATCCAAACAATTATTTCAATTATTTGATTCTATCACATCACCATCTCAGTTTGTACAGAGATACAATGAAGTATTACCAGCCTGTCAACGGAGTATTCTTTTAAAACAGATGTCTATGGCTTTAATGGGATTATCAAAACCAATGAATCTACCATTAATATCCTCATTTATAATTGATGGTAAATTATGTTTTGATACATACCCTATAGTTCTCTCAGCTTTAGCTGTAGAAACATATGCAGAAATTCCAGAAGCAAATGTGAATGATGTGATTAATTGTACAAGTGAAATATTAAAAGAGTTTTCTTTTCTGATTGAATTATTAGATAAAGACATGCAACGGTATATGACATCACTAGGAATTGTGTTTAATAATGAATTATTAGAGAAAAGAAAGTTGTTGAAACCAACTGAATTTGAGAATGTAATGAACCATGATTCGATTATTATGAATTTAATATCACAAGGAGATATTGAAATAAAAGAGATGAGAAAATATACTAAAGAACTTTTTTGTGTTGCTAATAGTCTCAAAACAAAAGAATCTATTAATATATCATCTAAGGGTATTATTATAAGACATGGAAGTATGTTATTAAGACAATTAGATAAATATAATAAAAGAATAATGATCAATGCAATTCTTATTCTCTACCCTAATGGACTTCAAATGTATCTTATTCCTTTAGATAATACTATTATAGAATCAATATGGATTTCTATTGATAATTTAAATATTGGTAATATTACAGGAATAAATGGTGAATTTTATAATGAAGGATGGTGTGTATTAACTATTGGAGATAAATTAAATAATACTACATATTGTATGTGTTCAACAAATCTTTTAACAGCTTTAATGTGGCATGATGATTTAGCTCATTGTATTAATCAACAAAAAACAAATACAACTATTAAAATGAAAGAAATACTTGTTGAAAGTAATTTAACAGATAAACTACCAGCTACAGTATTTAGTGTAATAAAAGAATTAATATTAAGAGGATGTTCTTGTTTTAAAATGGGAACTAAATTAAAAACAAAAGGAATACTTAAACATGCGTTACAAAATAATCCTAATATTGAATTAAGTGGTGTACCAATAGAAGAGATTGCTGGGTTCTTTATTGATTATTTAAAAGAAATGAAACCTAAGTTATTTAATAAAAATGATATTGATTTATTTAATAAAATTAATTACAAAGCTAATAATATTGAAGAATCAAACCTTGTTGAATTCTTTGATTTAAAAGAAAGTGAAATAAGAAATATGTTATTATCATTTATCTTTCTACTTAATTGTTTTGTTATAAATGGTGAACAATTTTCATTTGGGATGGATGATGCAATAAAACTAATTCAAATAGCTAGTGATTCTACATTTAAAAAGAAATGTATGGATAGTACAAGAATAAAATATATTATTGATAATATTAAATATATAATGCCAAGATATACAATGAAAGGAATACCTATGGTATTAAATAAAGTGAGTTTAATGAAAGAACCAATAAAAAAAATAATGATATTAGGTGATATTAAATATTGTATATTATTTGAACAACAACTTATTTGTTATTGTAATGATGAAGAGGTATTATCATTACATTTATCTGATACATATACATTATGTTGTAATTCTAATGAATATATTTTTATTGCAAATGATAAATGTATAACAAGAATAATTGATGTTAAAACAGTCACAATGGAATTAAATGGAATTAAAGATATTGCAATTAATGAAAATATTTTAATGGTTGCATTTGATAATAGATTAGAATTTTTTGATTGTCAAACATTTAAATTGATAGAAACATATTCATTTAAAGTAGTAGAAACAATTAAAACACATCAAATAACATCAGGATTTGTTGTAGCAATAAATAATAAAACATTAAAATTCTTTGATCAAAAAGGAAATTTATTATTAACAAAAGACTATGAATTTATAAATAAAGAAATTACTGTTATAACATCAAATGATGGAATTGTTATGATTGGATTTAATGATGGAAGTATCTCTGTACTTAATGAAATTAATGGAAATGAATTAGAAATTATTATTTCTTATGAAGGAAGTATTAAAGACATTACAATGGGAAATCAACATTATTATGCACTTACTACAAACAATTGTATATTAGTTATTGATAAAAATCATTTTAAGATTTTATCAATATTTAATCCTTTTTCAATAATATCATCTCTTTTAATAACAAAAAATGAAGTTATTTTAATGAGTTCATTTAATTCACTTTTTTACTATCAATTAAATAATCCACCAACATGTTCATCAATTAATTTATCTCCTTTCTTTATGGATATTCCACAATCTATGTCTTCATTAAATCATTCATTTGTTCCTAATCTTTCTCATATTAATTGTGTTTGTTCAGTATGTAATAAAACACTTTGTTCATATGACTTTATATGTAGATGTTTGTTTTAGTTATTTTTTTAATATATTTCATTAAATTATAGTATAAAAAAATTTATTGTACTTATTTCTAGATTGTCATACTTGTATTCACATAAATTGTTTGTCATTACTTAAGAAAGACTGTATTAAATAAATAAATGTTTTATGTGTCTTTCTTCTTTTCAAATAAAATTTAATTTATTTTTTATTATATCATTATTTTTCCATTTTATTTAAACTAAAAAATACTATTAAGTTATAATTTATTGGATGATTTCTGTTGAAAGCGTTAGTTCACACGGATTTTCACGACCTCGTTCATTTACTAAACATTCTCGAGGTAACACTAAAAATCTTCCTTCTTTAAATCCAGCAAAACTCATTCCTTTAAGAAGATTAACTATTGACTCATCACAAATTAGTACTCCCAATGATTCAACAAGACGTCAACCTTCATTTGAATTAAGTTCAAAGTTATCATTAATTTCTAGTCCAGAAAATAATGTTATGACAAGAAGATCAATATTAAAAATTATTCAAGAAATTAAAGACATAATTAAAATCATCATTTCTATTGAAAAACAATGCGTTGGTATTATCAATAGAATTTCTAAAAACAAAGAATTTGATAAAGGACTAAATTTAACTGATAAAGAAAAATCTATTATTCTTGAATTTGATATAAAAGAATTTGATAAAGATGAACTTATTCAATACAAAGAAAACCTTATTCATTCAATTAATATTTTTGAAGAAATACTTACTGCACTTAAAATATCAGTATTAAGTCTTCAGAATACAATAAAAAATTCATTTAATCCAATGGTATTATCTTTTACTATTGAAGTTTTAGATAAATTTACTCAATTTAATAAAAATATTCAAACAACTATTATGAATTTTAGAAATTGGTCTAATAAATCATTAATTCATCAAAAGGTTTATCAAAAAAATAATACAACTTCATTAGAAGATCTCATGTGTAATTGTGCTGAATTTATTAATATTTGTATTAGATTATTTGAATCAGATAGAATAGGTATAGAACAAACAATTGATTTAGAAGATATTCTTATTCAATTTAAAGGAATAACTTCTTATAAAATTGGTGATAATGAATCAATTAGTTTAAGTGATCTTAGATGGATAAAATCAAACCTAATAACAGCTTCTTCATTTACTTCTCAATTATCACAAAGTGTTGATGGATTAAATTCATTTCTTAATTATCATGATATTCTTAATTCACTCAAAGCCTCCCGTTATTGGAATAAATCTTTAGAAATATATGATCCTATAATAAATCAAATAAATGAACATTCGATTATTCATGCAGGAATAGCATTTTTACGTTTACAAACAAATGATGAAATTTGTAGATATCAAAAATGTTATTTATATTATTTAAATATAGGTTTATTGATTTTGTTATCATACGCTGGCAATACATTTTTACCATGTGACTTTATAAGTGCTAAAAGATTGGTTACTGCTGACATTGAAATTGATATTCCTCAGGACCATACGTTTGCAGGAGATCTTCATATCTTAACAAAAGATTCAATTTACCGTAAAACATTTTGTTTCTCCTTTCAACATGAGAGTGATATTATTGAATGGTCCAATCAATTTAAAGAAACTCTTTCATCTCTTGACATTACAACAACTCAAATTATTGAGTTAGGAAATCCTGTATCAACTAAATTCTTTAATAAAAAAGTTGTTATCAAGAAAAATAAATATATTGGTTCTTCTATTGAAGAATTAGTTCAATTTCAACAATTTAGTTCCTGTCTTGATAATGTTCCAGATGTATTAAATAAATGTATTAA